GTGCTCTAACTTAAATTAGGAATTATGATTCTCAAAACAACCCCGTGAGGTAGATTTTCTTGCTCCTTATACAGATGAGGAAATTAATCAAGGATAAATCACTCACCCAAATATATGCAGATAGTACAGAGCAGAGACCTGCTACAAATCCAGAGCTGGCTGACTCTCACATCCATTCTTTTTTTCCCTAGCATGCTACATCCCAATTGCTGTGCTTGGAACATTGGCACATTTTCAAAGTCAAATAGACACAGGGAAAGTGAAGCAGATAAATTATGCCTTACATATATATTGAGGCTTAGCTAGATTGGCAACTCGGCTCCTAATAAGGCCCAATCATTCCCACAGTGTGGTCTCAATACACCAAATGTGCATATTGTACCCTTCAGGTATGTCAGAAGGAAAATAAAGCAATTATAAACAGACTCACAATTATACGCTGTGAGAAGAAAGCATCATGAGTTTACTAATGAACACATGATAATTATGCAAAGAGACAACCTACTTTACCAGGGAGGAAAAATAGTGGTTTGTTCAGCATCGTTCTCTTAGCAAATATAACCCTGTGAGAACAAGAACGACGAGCAGACTTTGGATTTCATCAGCTAGATGTTGCCTACTCTGGTCCTACAGCCCTTAAGTCTCTAAGTCCATCTTAAGGTTTCTGGTTGTCACCAGAAGAAACACAGAGAACATTGTCACCACCAATGACCAAGCAGGTGCTCAAGAAGGACAGCAATTATAGTTGAATCTTCTTTTTTTTTAACTTAGCCATTTCATGGACCACTGGAGCTGGAAGATATCTTAGATATCATCTTTGTAAATCCTTCATTTTACAGGAAATGGAGACCGGGAGCAGAGGTATGACATGATCCCAGGGCACACAGGATGTGGTAAGTAACTAGAAGAGCCAGTTTCAGAAGAAACATCTCCTGACAGGACAGTCAGAACTCTCCACAGCAGCTCATATGCACAGTTTGGGTGGAGTTGGGTGAGTATATTCTTTACTCTGCTTTTATAAGAGAGAAAGAAATAATCAGCAAAGAAGCTGACATTTTGGATTTCTTTTAAAAAACAGACATCCAGGACATAGGCTTGGATTCTTTCCAATCCAATCCTATTCCCTACACCTTCTACACTAACATCATTGCTCAATCCCTACACCTTTCTGATCCAACCCCATTCCCTACACCTTCTACACTAACATTATTGCCCAGTGAAATGCATTTCCCCAGCCTCTCCCTACTAGAATGCCAGCTTTGTGCAAGCAACACACAAACACACAATGATTTTCTTGTCCTCCACTCTATGCCCAACATTAGATACAATGCCTGGAAAACTGTAGGTGGTAAATATTTGCTGAATGATTGGTGGGGTTTTTTTTGTTGTTGAATATTGTCTTCCTCACAGACTGAAAACTCCACTAGGGAAAGCATCATAACTGATATGCATTCCCCAGTCCCCAGCACCGAGTCTGGGAAAGACAATCAATACAGATCTGTTGAGGGAATAAAAGATGATTCATTTTATATTTGGATATTGCACCTACTAGGAAATCAAGAAATATAAATTATTTCAAAGATTTTCAACATAAAAGGTTATGGCACCATATAGCTAGAAATTCAGTTAACCACAGTTGGGTGTTTCTGATTCTCTTTCTTTCTGAAATTAATGTGATGTCTTCTCTTACCACAAGGGGGCAATGTGAAAACCACAGTGGTGGCTGGGGCCCTCCTTACCCAATGGACTTGATTTTGTTTGTGGATTTATCCAGGATTTTCTGTACAGCTCATGCTTGGGGGCGGGGGG